CAGTGGTTAAACTAACAAATAACAGCTTTACATAGAACTGGAAGGATAGTCCTTTCACATGATCAAGAACAGCTACAACAAATCAACAGCCTGGACCCTATTTTAATTGAAAGAGGAAAGGTGTTCCCGTTAATGTGATAAACAAGAATGTGATCTATTGTTTATTACTTTAGATTGTTCAGGAAGTTCTAGGCAAGTATGGTTTTCTATCTGGAAAATCCAGGAAAAATACTCAAAAATGTTTTAGAATGAGTAAGTGATCTCATTTAGGGGGCAGTTTTTTTAAATCAGTGTATTAAAGAAGAATCAGTGATCTCCCAATCAGATATAATGACTTACAAGATTTAGTGCAGAACAATATTACATTTATTATGACAAAAAAAATCAAAATACTTAGTATTTACTTGTTGTTGTTGTTATTATGCGCTGTTGAGTCGGACCGACTCATAGCGACCCCTCCTTGGGTTTCCGAGGCAGTATCACTACGGAAGTTGATTGCCCAACCTTCCTTCCGAGGAGTGGCTGGTGAGTTTGAACCGCCAGCCTTCTGGTTAGATGCCTTAGCAATAATAATAATAAAACTCAATGCCATTGAGTCAATTTCAACTCATAGTGACCTCTGGTGGATTTCCAAGGCTGTAAATCTTTACAGAAGTAGACTGCCTCATCTTTCTGCCATGGAGCAGCTGGTGAGTTTGAACCATTGATGTTTTGGTTAGCAGCCAAATGCCTTAACCACTATGCCACCCAAGCTCCTTTAATAACAAATAGTAGGGCTTATATGAAGAAAGCTACAACATTTTACTAAGAGATGTTAAGGAAGACTTAATGAAAGAAGAGGGACAAACTATATTTCTGGATGGAAAACCAATACCGAAACACACCAATTCACTCCCAAAGAATGTATAGGGTCAACACAGTTTCAGTTAAGAATTCACAGGAGATTCTCAAAGAAAATGATAAAATGCAAAGAGTTAAGGAAAATGATATTTAAAAAAAATAGAATCCAAGAGGCACATGTCCTGCCAGATATTAGAATGCATACAGGAAACCCGACAACGTGGCAATGGTTCATGAGCAAAATGACAGAGTAATGGAACTTCAGAGAAGATACAAAAGGAACAGATGATCTCACTAATCCTCATTCTCATTA